CCGCGCGAGGGCCGGAGCGGAGCGGCGCCGCTACCGCCGCACGCGCAAACTTGGGCTCGCGCTTCCCGGCCCGGCGTGGAGCCCGGGGCGTCCGCGGCCCCGCCATGTCGCGATCCAACCGGCAGAAGGAGTACAAGTGCGGAGACTTGGTGTTCGCGAAGATGAAGGGCTACCCACACTGGCCGGCCCGGGTGAGCAGCGCGGCCGCCGGCCTGTAGCGGTTGCATAACGCTCGGGAGGGCACGGCACCACGCGCAGGCGGGCCGGGGGCACCGGGGCCCGCTCGGCCTGTGGAGAGCCCACTGCGCTTACATAACTGACGCCATGGGTGTCGGCACCTGGCGGGTGGCGCCGATCGCCTCCTGGGCCGGCTCCGCGTGCTCGGTCGGTCCCCAACCCCCATACCCTCTCAGGCTCTGGGCGCGCGGTCGGCGTCGGGAGGGGGTGGTGTTCTCCCGCTTCGCTCCTGGCCACTCTGGGACCCCCTTAAGAGCCCTGTGTGCCCATTGATTGTCGTCTCCAGTTCAAACTCCTCTGGTGGAGAAACGATTACGAAGGGTTCCATTCAGAGGGGGCTAGACAGAGTTCGCTTCCAGAAAACTTTCTTCGGTGACAGGTCTGAAGTTGAGAGGGCCTTGGTATGGTCGGTGGTGACCTACGAAGTGATCTACCTGGCTGGATAACTCCGCCACAACCCATCAGCCCTCAGCTCTTGCCCCTTCATATGCTACCAGCTCAAATTTGGGACTGTCGGCTACAGGGCCCCACGTGCGTTGGAAACTCTAGTCCAGACTACACTAGTGAGGCAGGGGATTGTGGGGAACCTGAGTTGCTCCACTCCCCACCAGTGAGCCTCTCCCGCCAGAAGGTCTATGTCCGCCATGTGGTTGATTGAGCGGCGGGCTGTAGAGCCTTTCTCATTTCAGCACCTGGCCTGGTGGGAGGGTGGGGCCCGAAATGTTTATCACCTTTTTCCTCTGAGGAAAGTAAGGGAGGGGTGTGTGTCTCTGGCAACTTTTCAGACTTGGTGTAGAGGAGCCCCTTGGTACTGGGTGAGGGCATGACTCAGCCCCCTAGGGTGTGGGACTTGTGTAGTGTGAAATCCTAGGGCAGAAAAGCCTGGAGAAGAGGGATCAGAAGGATTGCCCTGTGACTTTGGCCTGCTCTTCTCAGTATGGCTAGCTAGTCATCTGGCTCAACACTGTTCTGACCTTCTGAAGTTCCCCCCGGGCCTCAAGTGGTTCTGGTGACAGGCCAGCTTGACCACTGAGAAAATCCAAGTGGCCTCCATACTCTGTACCATCTCTGAGGAGAGGAGTGTCTAATCCCATTTGCTTTGGCTCCTTGCTCTCTGAAACTTTTGGATGGATCAAATAAGGCCTTGGAGTGACGTTCAGAGTTAAGCCAGCCTGTTTCCAGGACCTCAGAAGGGCCTAATGGGCCTGATGGAGTTGAGGCAGGCTTGTGTGTGTTTGGGGCATGTGAACACTCACGTACTTTACCCTGTACTCTGATCCAACTGACTTCTTGACCCGGATGCCAAGGCACTGGTGGGCAGGGCAAGAACTGAAACCAGGTCTGACTACTTTTCCCTATTGGAGATGAGACAAAGTCCAGAGGATGGACTATGCCTTGGGGGGCGTGGGTAACTGGAATGTGTATTTCAGGGAACCCCTTCTGGATCAGAGAGAACAGGGACCCACTGTAGCCCTATAAGGTTTCTGCTGGCCTTTGGATGGATGGAAACCATCCATTTCTTCTTTTCACCTTGGGCCCCCAGGACAGAACTGGACAGCAGTGTCTTCCTTTGTTGAGGCCTGGACCTTTGAGGTACTGTTGTGAAAGAGGTCAGAATAGGTCTCAAAGAGATAGGCATCCCAACACTTTGCCTAGCTTTGGCTCTTTTTAAAAATACTGTTTTTATTTTAGGTGTATGAGTATATTGCCTGCATGTATGTAAGTGCATTCCTGTCATGCAGTGCCCTTGGAGGTCAGAAGAGGGTGTCAGATCCCCTGGAACTGGAGTTAGGAATAGTTGTTAGCTGCCATGTAGGTACTGGGAATCAAACCTGGGTCCTCTGCAAGAGCAGTCGGTGCCCTTTCCTTCTCCATCTCCATCCTCCTAGCTCTGGCTCTGATTCTGGGTTGAGGGGATGGGTACACTCAAGGCTATCACCTCTCAAAGACATTCTCCTTGACCTCAAAAGAACATATAAAACTGAGTCCTGTGTTATTTCCCCTGCCCCCATTCTTTGGAATCTGTCTCAACTCCTGAGACAGGGGAGCAGGAAAGAGGGACCCTGATGGCTGGCTTTCCCTCCACCTCCCTCAGAACCCTCAGCCAAGATGCAGGACACCACTTGCACCTTTCTGCTCCCAGCTTCTGCTGCTGGGGAACATGGGTGACTGGGAAAGACTAAAAGGACCCTGAGTTTGAGATGAAAGTCACAGGGGCCATGTGGTAGCAGGACTTGCCTGGAAGGATGGTCCATCTTTTACCTTCTCTCTTCCTCCTGCCTGATTTCCTGGGGGATCACCAGGTATTTAACAACCATCCAGGCTCAGGGATTCTTCCCCAGGTGTCTTCCTCTCCGTCTCTATGCTCTTTCTCTCCCAATCCCAGGGAAGCTCCTAAGCAACTCAGGTCCTCCCTTTTCTACCCCATCTCTTCTCTACTGTTGGGCTTGTCACTCTTTCCAGCCTAACTGTCTGAACTGCTTGCAATCCTGGGCATTCTGGTTCTTCTAGGTCTAGTTGGCCTGGCCCCAGCTGTGGTGGGCCCTGGGTGTGGTGGTCTGAATCCTGGCTGTCAGTCAGTGTGTGTTATCCTTCTGCCTTAAGTGCCAGGAGATCCCAGACCTGTTTGGGCCTGAGTGCTAGGGGCATGATGTTCAGTCATCCCTGTTTCTCCTCTAAACATTGAAGATTCCAGGATGGGATCTCTGTTGCTCAGGTCTGCCCGATGAAGGCAGGCAAATGAAAGGGAGTGGGCCTGGATAGCTAAGAAGTTTCAGAACTCCCCTCCAGTTGGCTAGAGGAGGAGGTGCAGTAGGGTCCCCAGCACATCTGACCTCACCCTGACCTGACCCACTTTGCTTTGACTCAGTCACAAGTATGGATATAAAGAAAGGCACCATCAGGGAGACAGACTGGGGTACAGAGCTCCCTTGAGACTTCATATCCTCCTCATCAGAGAGCTTCCCTTCATAGCCAAGTGCCAGGAAAGATGGTTCCTTTGTAGCTTGAGGGGTGGAGGTACTGCCACAGAAGGGATTTCTCCCCCTTTTTGAGAGTCTAGAAATGTTGTTGAGCAAAAAGTACTTCTCTCCCCACCAGATGGGGCCAGGGGAGGGGGGGGTGGCCCTCTGTAGGAAGAGGCCCAGGCCCTGTCCTATACCTCATCCCTTCACACCCATTCTTTGTGTAGCTGTAAGTTGGCAGGGTTGGCTGAATTGGTATTTCTCATTTCCAGTTTTAATTCCATTCAGTCTTTTTTTTTTTTTTTTTTTTTTTTTTTTTTTTTTTTTTAATTTTTAGTTTTTTTTTTTTTTTTTTTTTTTTTTGTCTTTTTTGAGACACCGTCTCCCTGTAGCCCCAGCTAGGTGACCAGGCTGGCCTCTCCCTCCCAAGTGCTGGGACTTAAGGCGTGTGCCACCACGCCTGGCATCCATCTAATCTTTTATTTCTAGGGCTGTGCAGCTGAGAGGCTCCTGGGTCCCCTGCCACATGATTTGGGTGCTGCTGCTCGTTTCTGTCTGTGGGGAGCTGGGGTGTCCAGGTCTGTACTCCTGGAGAGAGCCTGGAGCCTCTTGGCCCTTTCCCCACCTTCTCTTTGGGACTCTCATTTCTTTCCTTTCATCACACATGTATTATGAGATTGAGAAACACAATAATGCCCTAGCTTAGGTGTGGGCACTTGTGTAGCATGCCAGCCTTGGACCCATTCACTTGTCAGAGATACAGCCCTTCCACTCCAGAGGACCAGTGGGAGAGCCCTTCCTGCTGTTGTCCTTTGCCTGTCCCCTGGGATCCCTAAGCCCTGGAGGCCCTCATTTTGTTTTTGCTAACCCCATCTGAGAGGAGAGCTAGCTGGTAACAAGAGCCAAGTGTCCTGCTAGCTCCGCCCCATCCTCAGTCCTTAGAACATATGTGACCACCCCCATCAGCCCCCGAGTCCAGGCTGTGGGTTCAAGCACTGCCCAGGACCCACTTGCTTGACTTACAGGCTTGGGGGAGTGGGAGGTGGTGTTCAGTGTCCTGGATAAAGGACCTGGGGGAGAGGGGTGGTGACATTCCTGGTTGCTGAGTGGGCTCTGGGGGTGGGGTGAGGACTTTGCACCCCCTATTCCCACATTCCAGCATCTCCTGGTTATTGGAAAGGGCCTAGTTTGTGTTGTGTCTTCCTAGGAGGGAGGGGCTGGACCTCTGTCCCCAGAGGCCATGGGGGGGGCTGCCAAAAGCTTGAAGATGTCTAAGTCTAGAGCAAGACGCCTCTCAGTCATGCCTACTCTACTCAGCCTATTCTATCCACCCAGCCTCCCACTATTCCTGATCACTGCCTTGGCCTGTCTGTCTCTCCTGTTTGAGTCTGGGGCTCCGGTCAACATGGCCACCTGGCCTCTGTCCAGAAGGGAAGCCAGATTTCTCGGGCTGTTGCAAGTATTGCTGGGAGTTGTAGTTCCTTTTCTAACTTTCAGTTTGTTTAGCCTGGGTTTCCAAGACTTGATCTGAGAGGGAGCAGTCAGGCTACTGTTTCTCCATTTCAAACCTGATCTTAGACCTCAGCACCTTCTACCTTTACCCTAGCATTCCTCTTGGGCCTATGGGGCAAAGAATCACACCAAGTATTTAGGCCTGCCAGGCGTGGTGGCGCATGCCTGTAGTCCCAGCACTTGGGAGGCAGAGGCAGGCAGATCTCTGTGAGTTTGAGGCCAGCCTGGTCTACACAGTGAGTTCCAGGCCAGCTGGGGCTACAAGGGAGACCCTGTTTCAAAAAGACCAAAAGGAAAAAAAAAAAGAATTTAGGCCTGAGATCTGGTCCTCACTATAACTTGCCATGTTACTTAGAGAAAGTCATGTCTTTTCTGGGCTCAGTTTCCTCATCTAAAAAGATTTGACTATTTTGGTGGCTTTCAGAATGTTTCACAGAAACCTTTTGGAATCATTACCAAAGTCAAGAATTGAATAGGCAGCACATTGCGACCCCACCCCTTTTCAACTTCAGAGCAATCTGCTTTTATTTTCTGTAAATATGTTCTATAGAGTCAGTCAGCAATTTTTTTTTTTTTAGTACTAGGAATTGAATTCAAGGCCTTGCGGATACCAAAAAAGCACTCTGCTAGTGAGCTACCTTCCAGCCTTCTAAATTTTTATTTTGAGATAGTTTTGGTAAGTTAACCAGGCAGGCCTTGAACTTGTGATCATCCTGCCTCAGCCTCCATGGTACCTAGGATTTCAGACCTGTACCACCAGGCCTGGCTCATTCAGCAGGTACTATGTACCTACTGTTTGTCAGAGATGAAAGCAAACCACAATGGGCACTCCTTTTGGCAGCAGGATCGTGAGTTCCAGACCAGCCTTACCTACATAGTGTGACCCTGTTACCTAAAAGGAAAAAAAAAAAAAAAGCTCTCACCTTTGGGTGGATATAGTCCCTATGATAGTCCACATAAATATCAATCAAGTACTAAGATTAATCTGTAAAGTTGGAACTGAGAAGGGAAGGTGCTAGGGAAGTGTTCCTTGGGGCACTAACTGGTCAGGAATGAAACTTTGTGGAGGGAGTGATGGTGGGGCTGAGGTTGGAAAGCTGGTCAGGAATTAGTAGGAAAGGCTGAATGATAGTGTGGCCAGAATAGAAGGGAAATGTCCTGGGAAGAGTTGTCACAAACATAGGTGGTGTCAACTTCTAGTTATTCAGCACTGAACCCCATGGTTTAAGTACTGTGATTCTCCCTTTTACAGACGGGGAAACTGAGGCAGAGAGGTTCACTAAGTACTCCAAAGTCAACCCTAAATGTGACAGTGGAGGTTTGGACCTTGTCATTGAGAAGAGGTGGGCCCTAGTCATGGGAAGGCTTTTGAAGGGATTGAAATGCTTTAACATTTCATAATTGGAGCTGGGCATGTTGGCACTGTGCTATCATCCCAGCATTCCAGAGCGGAGGCGGGAGGATCTTGAGTTTGTGGGAGGATCTTGAGTTTGTAGCTAGCCTAGGGCACATAGCAAGAACCTGTCTCAAAACAGAGAGGTAACACTGTTGGCTTTTGGAGTGGCAGAAATGCAGCTTCAGCTTGGATTGGACACTGGGGAAGGTGCTTGAAGGAGAGGGAAAGTAGGCTTGGATTTCTGTTGGGCTTTCCTGTCTAATTTTATTTATTTTATTATTATTATTTATTTATTTATTTATTTTTTGGTCTTTTTGAGACAGGGTCTCCCTGTAGCTCTAGCTGGCTTGGAATTCACTATGTAGACTAGGCTGGCCTTGAATGTACAGAGATCTGCCTGCTTCTGCCTCCCCAGTGCTGGGATTAAAGGCATGTGCCACCACACCCAGCTCTCCTGTCTAATTTAATCTGAACAAATTGTACTACTAAAAATGTTTCACAAACTGGTAATCTCTAGGGCCCCGCTTTCTTTGGCTTTATACAAATGACTGTGTGCCTCATTCTGCCCCAGACTAAAGACCTCCGGACTCTAGCTCACACTTGTTCTCCCTTTTGCCCCAGATTGATGAGATGCCTGAGGCTGCAGTGAAGTCAACAGCCAACAAATATCAAGTCTTTTTTTTTGGGACCCATGAGACGTGAGTGAGGGGCCAGTGGGATATAGGTGGGACACCATGGGAGCACCACTGTGGGGAAGGGGGTGATCATACCTGTGTCTGCCTGGCTGTGCACTCTGGGGGCAGCTCGGGGCTTGAAAGCACAGTCTCCCCATCTCTCATCAGGGCATTCCTGGGCCCCAAAGACCTCTTCCCTTACGAGGAATCCAAGGAGAAGTTTGGAAAGCCCAACAAGAGGAAAGGGTTCAGCGAGGGGCTGTGGGAGATCGAGAACAACCCTACAGTCAAGGCTTCCGGCTACCAGGTGAGCTGCCAGCAACTGCCAAAACCCCTGGAAAACAGGTGTGTTGTGGGCTCCAGGAGCCTGGCACACAGGTGATGCTTAGTCTTCAGAATATCAGGGTTTGGGGAGGGTGGCAGAGTTGGGGCTTTCTGCAAGAGGGGATGAGGGAGTCATGGGGTGATTTGTAGTTGTAGGTCAGGGGCCACTACTAAGTGGCCTTGGGAAAAAACAGGATGGAGGCGGTAAGTCGGGGCAGGCCTTTATTGGGCCCATGGTGAGTAGAGAACACAGCCTTCCAGGAGGAGGTGCTCCTGAGCCGGGCAGGACAAGGCGGGAGGGCGGGGGGCAAGGGGGTCGTGGGGAAAGGGTCCCAGCTCCCTTTGGGAGAAGTTGACCCGAGGTTTTGCCTCCTGCTCCAGCCCTCCCCCCTCCTGCACAGAGCCCTGCCTGCCCGGCCCGTGGGTTAACCCCGGGGCTAATCCAACAGAGGTGGGTCTCAAATCACTTGTGAGACTGGGCACCTGGGTGGGGGTGGGGGCATGATGGGCAAAAGAAGGAGTGAGTGACTGGGGGGGTGGTTGGGGAGGGGGTAGCCTCTGGTTCCACTCAGCCTTTGCTGTCTCTACCATAGTCCTCCCAGAAAAAGAGCTGTGCAGAAGGGCCGGAGCTGAAGCCTGAAGCCCCCGAGGGCGATGGTGATAAGAAAGGAAATGCTGAGGGCAGCAGTGATGAGGAAGGGAAGCTGGTGATCGATGAGCCAACCAAGGAGAAGAATGAGAAGGGGGTGCTGAAGAGGAGAGCAGGGGACCTGTTGGAGGTAACTGCCAGCCCGCAAAACAGGGCTCTGCCTCAGGGCATTGGGTCTGAGGGAGAAATCCAGCTCCTAGTCTCGGGGAGTCCAACTGAGAGTGGGCCACAGAAGGCATTCCAGCCAGCTACCAGAAGGCAGCAGAAAGACAGTATCCTAGGAAAGAGCCCCTGAGGAGGGGACATTTGCTATTGTCTCTAGCCTCACTCCATGTCCTCTGTCAATCTGCCTAGGATTCCCCTAAACGTCCCAAGGAGTCAGAAGATCCTGAAGGTGGGGAGGATAAGGAGATGGCTACCTTGGAGGGTGAGAGGCCACTTGTGGAGGTAGAGAAGAACAGCAACCCCTCTGAGCTAGGCTCTGGCCGGGGACCTCCTCAGAAGGAAGAGGAAGAAGAGGCTGCCAAGGAAGAAGCTGAGGCTGAGAGCATCAGAGATCATGAGAGGTAAGTAAGCTACCTTGGTAGGGGGTGGAAGGGCCTGGCCACCTATGGAGAGGAGGAGGAGGTGGAAGAGAAGGAGGAGGACAAGGGTCTGCAGTGGTCAGCCTCTCTGGAGGCAGGGTGGGCTTTCCCTGGAGACCGGCACTGGCTGGGGCAAAACCAGGTCAAGGCCACACCATTAACCCTTCTCCCCTCCAACCCTCCCTCGCAGCCTGTAGCCATCAATGTTTCAAGAGGAGCCCCTGCCCCGTTCCTGCTGCTGTCTGGGTGCTACTGGGGAACTGGCCATGGCCTGCAAACTGGGAACCCTTTTCCCACCCAACCCATTCTCCTCCTCCACTCACTTTCTCCTCTTTAAGTCCAGCCCCTGGAGATTGACCTGACCCTCACCTCTAGGTCCCTCTACCCTGTGACCTAAGTCAGGGCCATGTCTTCTGTGCCCTGGGATGAGATGAGGCCATTATGTCTCCTTAGATTTGTTTCCTTGGGCTTCTGTTGGGGCTTGGGCTGCTTTTTCCACTTCTTGAAACACCTCCCCTCCTGCAGACATTCTAGACCTCTGGGCTGGCTTGGGGCAGGAATGGAGGTGATAGAGTTTCTGAAGCCTGGTCGGGCAGGAGGCTCCTGTTCTCTCCTCCTACATCCTGTTTTCCCATCTGCCAAAATTCAGGAAAAGGCGGACAATATGTGGGAGGGGCCTCCTTCCATAAATCCTTGGTGATTTGGACAGCAGCTATTTTGCTGACCTCAGGAGTTCTAGGAATTGTAGGTTATCATTAGAAGAGACCCTGTGGCTTCCAAGTTGTTAGGGCCACTGGACCTGGAGAGAGCTGAGATCTGAAGGGTTCCTTTATCATTTGCATTGAACAAATGTCCTTTATATCTCAGGCCAGATAAGAGGTGACCTGGGGAAATTCCTGTTGCCCTCTTCCCACAATGCTCAAGGCCAGCCTGTAGTCAGATATATCACCCAGACATAAAGGAAAAGACACATTTTTTAGGAAATGTTTTTAATAAAAGAAAATTACAAAAAAAAAGTAACCCCCACCTCTTTGTGTGCACCCCATTCTGCTCCTTTCTTCCCACCACTCCTCATTTCTAGGTGCGCCTGGAGGCGCCCTTCTGTGGGGGGTTGATGGCTTTCTTTTTGTAGCTGGGACTTTGGTACTTCCTCCAGAGTCATACCCCTTTTGGTCCTCTTGGTGTTGTCACATCCACTTTGTAGCCCACTAAGAAGACGGGAAAAGTGCCCTCCCCCAGCCTCTTCCTAGTGGTCTCTCTATGCCTCTCTTTTGCCTTTTGTCTTTTACTTCTTGTCCCTCCCTTGGGCTCTGAAGAAAAATTGCTGACTGTAGCTTTGGAAGTTTAGCTCTGAGAACCGTAGACAATTTGAGTTCTAGGAAAATAAAACCCGTTGATTACTATATTTGATTCTGACTAATTCTTTGGGAGTGTCTTGGTTAACTGAAGAGGGGGAAAGGGAAAGAGAACAGAACACAAAGACTTCCAGATCACCTCAAATTGAAGGAAAGTTGTCAGTCTCCTCCTTTCCCAAGGCATTAGAAATCCAAATTTTTGGGCTGGGCCTGGTGGTACATACACTCCCAGCATTCAGAGGCAGGTGGATGGAGGCCAGCATGATCTACATAGCAAGCCAGACCCTGTCTAAAAAAGAAAGAAAAAATAAATAAGTAAAACTGGCAAAAAAAAAAAGAAAAAGAAATCCAAACCTCTACATGAGGGAAGGCTTACAGAAAAGCCATATTCTGTCCAGCCAGTATTTAACACAGTTTTTTGTTTGTTTGGTTGTTTTTTTTTTTTAATTTTTATTTTTATTTTATGTGTATGTGTGTATTGTCTGCATGTAGGTAAGTGCACCCGTGTCGTGCAGTGCCAGCAGAGGTCAGAAGAGGCTGTTGGATCCCATGGGACTGGAGTTACAGATAGTTGTTAGCTGTCATGTGGGTGCTGGGATTTGAACCCTGGTCTTCTACAAGAACAACCAGTGTTCTTAACCGCTGAGCCATTTCTCCAACCCTTTAACACAGCTTTCTTTGCAAACATCTGGGAAGGTCTAAAATTTTTTGAATCAGGTGTGGTAGCGTACATACCTATATTCCCAACAGTCAAGAGGCAGGAGGATCGTGCTTTCACCAGTCTAGGCTGTCCCATCCTGGGTTATAGAGTAAGACCCTGTCTAACCACACCTCCCCCCAGTCCCACTCCCACCCTTACACACACACATACACACACACACGTACAAAAAATGGTGTTTGAGGGGTTTGGGATATACCTCGGTATAGTTGCCTATAGTTGGAGTGTTTCCTAGCATGCACAAAGCAGAAGCCCTGGGTTTGATCCCCAGCACAGCATAAAACCAAATGTGATGATACATGCCTATAGTCCCCAACACTCAAGAGGTCGAGGTAGGAGGATCAGAAGTTCACAGTCTTCCTCAGGGCTGGGGAGATGTCTTAGTAGGTAAAAGTGCTTGATCTGAGTTCCATCCCAGAAACCAAAGAAACTGGATGTACTCCTAGGCAAGATGAAAGGTGGAGACAGCATCGCTTGCTTCAACAAGGTGGAGAGACCAGTTCCTGACAGTTGTCCACTGACCTCCACAGGCATGCCATGGCATGTGTATGCCTACACTCTACACAAAATCTTTTTTCTAAAATTGTGGGGCTAGAGAGATCTCAGTGGTTAAGTCCCCAAGAGGACTCCTGTTTAGTTCTTAGCATTCACATGGCAGCCAACAATCCTCTGTAACTCCAATTCTAGGGGATCCGTGGTCTCTAGGGACATTGCATGCATGGGTGCATTTACATATATGCAGGCAAAACACTCATACACAAAAATAAGTCATAAAATATATATTTTTTGTGTGTATATGTATGAGTGTGTATATTTGTGTGTATATGTATGAGTGTGAGATCAAAGGACAATTTCCAGGGGGATGTCCCATGTTGGACCCAGGGATTGGACTCAGGTCATCAGGCTTGGTAGCAGATACCTTTACCCACTGAGCTATCTCACCAACCCAGTAAATAAGAAAATTAAAGTTGTCTTTAGGTATACAGCAAGTTCTAGACCAGTAATGCATGTTGAGACTGGATAAATAGCTCAGAGGTATACTGCTTGTCTTGCATGCTTGAGGCCCTAGGTTCAGTCCCCAGTACTGCAAAAAAAGAAAAAAGGAATTTTGGAGAGGCTCCGTATGAGTCACAGCCCAAATGGTTATGGAAGTGGGTGACTTACTTTGAGACAAGGATTCATGTAGCCTAGATAGATCTTTTAACTCCCTATGTAGCTGAGTATGACCTTGAACTGATCTAAGTGTTGCGATTGCAGGCTTGTCAATGGTTGGCAGGTTAAGACTATCCCAGCTGTGTCATCCTCCCCACCCCCACAAACTCATCCTCGTTTTGCCTTAGTCTCCCAAGTGCTGAAGAGAAGTGGGTGTTTGGTTTGGGTTTTAGAAAAAGCTTTGGCCCACAAGAGCAAGCCAAAGATCAGGAGGAATAACTTAGCCATTTAATGGTAGGTAGGCTGCTAGCCACATGACAACTCATTTAAGTAAAAAGACGAGGCCTTGAGGCAAGGAAGATAACTTTATTTCAAAAGTCACTTGAGGGGTTGAAGAGATGGCTCTACAGTTAAGAGTGGGTACTATTTACTCTTCTGAGGATTTGGGTTTGGTTTCTAGTACCCATAATCACCTGTACCTCCAGTTCCAGGGGACCTGAAGCTTCTGGCCTCTGTGGGTTACCACTGGCACACACACATAAAATAAGATTTATTTATATATGTATGTATGAGTGTTTGGCCTGAATATGTATGTCTGGTGCCTGTGGGGATCAAAAGAAGACACTGAATTTCCTTGAACTGGAGTTTCAGGTGGGTAAGTTGCCATGTAGACAGTGGAAAAAGTCAGCTGAAGGGGGCTGGGGTTGTAGTTGATAATGTTTGCCTAGCAAATACTAAGCCCTAGGGATGGGTTCAATCCTGAGCATAAACCAAGTTTGATGGTGCACAGCTGTAATCCCAGCACTTGGGAAGTGGGGATGGAAGGTCTGAAGTTCAAAGTCAGCTATATAGCAAGCCTGGACTACATGAGACCCTGTCTCAAAACACAAGAAAGCTGGCTGAGACTACAGATGGATTCTTGAAAGTCCATCTGGCTAGGAGACTAGTTAAGAGCTAGGAGACAGAGGTGGAGATTTGAGGCCACCCTCCAATCATAATGGCCTACTTAGGAGGTCCTTTACTAGTTATGCACAACCTAAGAACAAAGGTCATTATTTCTTCGGGCTCTGCTAACCGCTGATGGGTTTGCCCATGAATTAAATTCCTGAAATGACAAAATGAACAGGCCAGAGTGGGTAGCTGCCCCAGGGTGGTTGCCAGACCCACAAAAATAGAATACACTGGATCTGATCCAGGAAAGATGGGTGAGGTGGGGTCGTTAGGGAGTTGGTCAGGAGACCTGATCTCAATACTAGGCTTCAGTAGGGATACCTGCCTTCTTCACTGATCATATATTTTTGTGATTAGCTCATCTAGCTTTGGAAGGACTCACATTCATCCCTTCCTCTAGGAAGTCGGGGCAGTTTTTAAATCTGGCCTGGCCGCTACAAGCACGGAAGAGCCAGGGCAATAATGGTTGTAGTCTCACCTAGAAATGGAAGCTCTGCTTTGAACAGGAAGCCACCTACCACCTAGAAAATGGAGCCATGTTTTCTGTGAACTACAATTCCCAGCGGCCTCCACGCAGAGCACGTGCAGAAATGTGCCCAGAGTTATCAGCCTATCTTTCCGCCTTCAATTCCCGACATGCTTCTCACACTGTGGATTTCCTATCCTGGCCAAACTTCCTGTTTCCAGTTTGGTTTGTAGCGACGGACTACAATTCCCAGCAAGCTGAGGCTGAAATTCGTTATAGAGCGTCCGCTCTACAATTAGACTACATCTCCCAGAAACCCAATGGGCGAAGGCTACCGGGGTTCAACGCTCACATGTGGAGGGTGGGAAAGGTGAGGCTGCTCGCCACTCTGGGGCCGCCGGGTCGGGAGCGCATCAAGAGGTGGGAGAGAGAGTCACCTCCCCAGGTTTCTCTTTACTGGAAGATTGGAGGGGCCTGGTGAGGCGTGCTAGGATTCTAGGTCCGCACCCTGGGTGAGTCTAACACGGGAAGTCTTGGAGCGGTAGCCTGAGGGCAGACGTAACCTAAGGGGCTGGCTTGCTCAGAAAAGACAAGACCCAGCGCAGAAGCAACACCAGCCTCCATATTGTCAAGGGAACAGGGAACGATGAAGAGGGTATGGCATGCCCCAGCCTTCCGTCTCCCAAAGCAGAGATTTAGGGATTGTTTTGTTTTGTGTTTTGGTCTTTTTGAGACAGGGTCTCCCTGTAGTCCCACCTGTCCTGGAACTCACTATGTAGACCAGGCTGGCCTTGAACTCACAAAGACCCGCCTGCCTCTGCCTCCCAAGTGTTGGGATTAAAGGTCTGTACCCCCAGTTTGAGTACTTTTAAGAAATGAACCTACAACCCTACCCTACCCATATGTATACATACTCATTCTAAGTCATTCTTTTATTTCTTCTTGTCTGCAGGGTTTGGGTTTTGTTTGCTGTTGCTTTTCAAGTGTGTTGAGTTGGAGTGTTAAGTCATTTATTTGTGTTCGATCTTTTTGAGACAGGGTCTCCCTGTAGTCCCACCTGTCCTGGAACTCACTATGTAGACCAGGCTGGCCTTGAACTCACACAAAGCCCCCTGCCTCTGCCTCCCAAGTGTTGGGATTAAAGGTCTGTACCACCACGTCCGGCATGATTTAGGGATTTAAAAAAAATTTTTTTTTTTTTTTAAATTTGTACAAGTGTTTTGATGCCTGTGTTGACTGCCTGTATGCCGTTATATGGGTAGTGCCTGCGAAGGCAGGGATGGGACGCTTTCATGTGGGTGCTCTGAATCTAACCCCAGTCCTCTGGAGAAACAAGTGCTCTTAACCACCTCTTCAGAAGAGCCACCTTTTCAGCCCCTACGGATTTCTTGAAGTCAGTTGGCTTGAACTAGGAGAGTGCAAGTCATTGGGTCAGGTTTCCTTGTCAGTAAAAGGAATCTTAAATGTACCTGGTTAACTGTCCTAACATATTTTTAATGATACTTTCATTTCTTCCTGGATACTGTGAAGACCAAATGCAAGTTATATTGAAATTTTCAGCTTGTCAGGTAGTGATGCTCAGTAGTCATTTGTTGAATCTGAATAGGAATATCTAAGCCCTTGGCATTAGTTGAAAACATTGGGCCTTTTCCCCAAACTCAGAGCTTCACATATGATCACAAGCACCACACACATAACACAACCCCCCCACCCCAACAAGATTAGTGTGACTTCTTCATTGCTGTCAGGACATTTAGGCTTACATGAGATGCACTAGGAAAGCTCTCAGCATGGCACCTAGCCGGTACAACTGCTCAGAAAACTTCATGCATGCTAGGCTAGCATTCTACATTGAACCCCTTTATACTTTTAAAAATATATGTATTTTTTATTATTTTTCTGTGTATGAATGTATTGCCTGCAAGTATGTAAGTGCACCCATGTTGTACAATGCCCACAGATGTCAGAAGAGGGCTTCAGATTCTCCTGGAACTGGAGCTACGGATGGTTAGCCACCATGTGGGTGCTGGGAATTGAACCCAGGTCCTCTGCAAGAGCAGCCAGTGCTCCTAACCATTGAGTCATCTTTCAGCCCCATAATTTTTGAGGTAGTGTCACATTGTAGCTTAGACTAACCTCAAACTTACTATGTAGCCAAAGCTGGTCTCAAGCCCACAGCAATCTTGCTGCTTCTGCCTCCCAAGACCTAAGCCAGCACACTCACCATTTCATTCATTGAGACAGGGTTTCACTATGTAGCCTTTGCTGACCTGCAACTCACTGTGTAGATCAGGCTAGCCTGGAACTTAAAGAGATCTGCCTGAGTGCCTGGATTAAAGGTGTGTGCCATAGCATTCCTTTTTTTTTTTTTTTTTTTTTTTTAAAAAAAGACAGGTCCCTCTGTAGCCCAGTGTAGCCTTAAACTTATTTTAGTATGTATTCATGTTTGATACGTATGTATGCAAGCAATGTCTACAGAGGCCAGAGAGTCAGATCCCCTGAAACTGGACTTTGTTAGCTACCACATGGGTGCTGGGAATTGAACCTGGGTCCTCTGCAACAGCCAGTGCCCTCAACCACTCAGCTATTTCTCCAGCCCCCCTTGTAATCTTCTTGTCCCTACCTACCAAGTGCTGGCATTATAGGTGTGCACCACACCTTGTTCCTCTCTTTTTTTTTTTTTGTCATTATGAGACAGGGTCTCCCTGTAGCCCCAGTTGGCCTGGAACTCATTGTGTAGACCAGGATGACCTTGATCTCATGCAGATCTGCCTGCCTCTGCCTCTGGAGTACTGGGATTAAAGGTGTGCCCCACCACACCTGGCTCTCTGTACTTTGTAAGACAGATTCTCACTAAGTTGGAGACGTGCCTTGAATTTGTGATCCTTCTGCCTCAGCCTTAGCCTCTCAAGTAGCTGGGAGGTCTGGCTCAAAAGCACCTTTTTTTTTGGTCTTTTTGAGACAGGGTCTCCCTGTAGCCACAGCTGATCTGGAACTTGCTAAGTAGACCAGGCTGGCCTTGAACTCACAGAGAGATCCACCTGCCTCTGCCTCCGGAGTGCTGGGATTAAAGGCATATGCCACCACACCTGGCTTTAAAAGCACTTATTTTTGACAATTCTTTTACTAACCCACTAACCCATTAATTTAATCTGCTATCCAAAACTGGGGGTCTTCTAGCACACAATAACCTTAAGCTTTTTGTCCTTAATTAGATAAAAAGCTACCTTAGGGAGGGGTATTTCCTACCTGAGAATAGGAACATTCTTTTTTTTTTTTTTTTTGCTTTTTATGAATTTTGCAATTCCCATACAGTTTAGTTTGACGATACTTACATCTGCCCTCTCTTTACCCTCCCCTCTATTCTTACCTCTGCCACTCTGCTCATTTTGCCATGTGATGGCTTGCTTGCCTGGCCCTGTGCCAGTGCTTTGTTCCTGCCTTCTTCCTAGCTGCTCTTCAGTTAATCATCATCTTGTATCTTTTGTGCCAAGCTCTCCTGGGATGTGCTAGATCCAAGGAGCTAGACAGGCATGGCCCCTGGCCTCAATGACTTCTTTACTTTGAAGTCATATATGTGGGTTTGAATACTGATCCTCACTCCCCATCTCCCCATTAATAGCTTTTTGACCATGGGTAAGTTACTTAACTCTTTGTCTTTATCTGTAGAGTGAAGATAACTTGTGAGAGGATTCAATGAAACAAAGCCCATTGAGCAACTGGTAAGATTTCTCACAGCATCTAGCCATGCGTCTCTCTGCCCTGCTGGCCTTAGCATGCAAAGCCACTCTGCCTCCCAACTACCGCTATGGGATGAGCAGTCCAGGCTCCTTGGCAGACAAGAGGAAGAATCCCCCGTGGAGAAGGCGGCGCCCTGTGGTGGTAGAACCCATTTCTGATGAAGACTGGCACCTATTCTGTGGAGACATGGTAAGAATCTCAGGACAGAGGGACAGGGAGGCTTGTGGGCAAGGGTTTCCCTCCCTCATCCTCCTATTGTTCTACAGGTGGAAATCTTAGAAGGCAAGGATGCTGGGAAGCAGGGCAAAGTGGTCCAAGTCATCCGACAGCGGAACTGGGTTGTCCTGGAGGGGTTAAACACTGTAAGTAGAGAGAAGATAGGGGCCTCAGAAGTCTTCCTCATCTGGCTGAGGAGCCGGTTATGTCGCTGACTCTTCCACTTTTTAGTTTGAATATGCTAAGCAGTAGTGGGCAAGCCACCTTCCCACTCTTGCTTTCTCATACCCCCTTCTTTTGGACAGCATTACCGCTACATTGGCAAGACCAAGGATCACCGAGGGACCATGATCCCTAGCGAAGCCCCCTTGCTCCACTACCAGGTCAAGCTAGTGGACCCTGTGGACAGGCAAGCACAAGTGCCTCAGAGGGTCAGGGGCCTTTTAACTATGTGTCCACAAGTATTGGGTGGGTGGAGCCACAGTAGACATCCCATTTATCCAATGAGAATGGTGGGTTGGGTAGTCTCAAAGTCCAGGTGTCTGTCTCTTATAGACAATTCACAATTCTCTGTAATCCTGATATACTGAGAAACAAAGTGGTAACTGGTGTTTTCAACCACTGGCAGGCCAGGCTCACTATTTCTATCCACCAGGAAACCCACTGAGGTTGAATGGAGATTTACTGAGGCAGGAGAGCGGGTTCGAGTCTCCACAAGATCTGGAAGAATTATCCCTAAACCCGAATTTCCCAGAGCAGATGGCATCATTCCTGAAACATGGATCGGTGAGGCTGGGAAGAGGATAGGGGTAAGAGGGGGGGTGAAAAGATGTTAAGACAAGTTGGTAGAATATAGCTTAGTGGTAGGACACTTGCCTAGGATGTACAAAGCCATGGGTTCCATCTCTAGCACTCCCCCCACCAAAAAAACCTGGCATATCCTCTCATCATCTCCTTTGCTTTGGGTCAACAGATGGCCCCAAGGACACATCAGTGGAAGATGCTTTAGAAAGAACTTATGTGCCTCGGCTAAAGACCCTGGAAGAAGAGGTAATGGAGGCAATGGGGATCCAGGAGACCCGGAGACACAAGAAAGTCTACTGGTATTGAGCCTAAAAGTCTGGCTTCTGTTTGTCCAGTGGTCACCTTGAAGGTAGAGGCCCTTCTTTTCCTCAGACACCAATAAAGAGCCCTGAGTGCAGATGCTGTCTGTCCATGCCTCTCTTCTCGTTCCCCAGCACATTGCTTTTCTGGGAGCTGAGGCAGGGTGCACCTGATTTCCTCCTGTTGGGACAGAGCTGGATGTGGATAGTAGTCTTCCCAAGGGCAGGTCCTTCATGTTTTGGGATGGAAACAGGGGAGAAAGTCCCCCTGAAGAAATTCCTGAGTAACAGCAGCTGCTGCACAGGCTGCCTGCCAGAAGGGCAGTGGACATGTGCCCTTTTACCTAAGAGAAACAGGACTAAATTCTTACAAGTTTTAATAAATTAAAATCACATATTACATTAGATTTGAAGGGAGAGAAAAAGTATGAACTTGAAGTTTGCAGGGAGCCAGGATCCCAGCAGGATGCAAGGCACTCTAAACCACTGAGATGTACTTAGCCTCACTGGCACCTGGTTTTCTCAGGTGGAGTGACAGTCAGCTGTCTTCAGACTCGAGAGCAGAGAAGGCCTGACCCAGGGGTGTCTTGGTAGCCACCAGAACCAGGTTTCTGGGAGAGAGTTCAGGGCTGAAGATGGGCAAGAGCTCAGCATAGAAGCCTAGGAGGAAGACAGGGCTAATCAGAATGGAAAAGGGAGTTCAACCTTCCCAGCCTCTCCCTGCTTAACCTGGAACACAGTTCCTTTTCCCATGGGGGAAGACTGCAGAGGCACTAGACTGAGGTAGCCCCTTGTGCTTTCTAAGTGCCTAGGATGCTTGCTTAAAACCTGCCTCAGTGGAGATGGAGAAATGGCTCAGCAGGTAAGAGCACTTGCTGTTCTTCCAGAGGACCAATGTTCAGTTCCCAACACCCACATCCAGCCGCCCATAACTATGTGTAACTCCTAGGGGATCCAATGCCTTCTGGTCTTTGAGGGAATGTGGCACACATGTCATAAAATAAATCTTTAAACAACAAAAAAAGCCAGGCCGGGCATGGTGGAGCACACCTTTAATCCCAGCACTCGGGAGGCAGAGGCAGTGGGCATGGTAATGCAGACTTTTAATCCCAGCACTGGAAGGATAGGCATGCAGACCTCTTGTGAGATCAGGCCAGCTGAGGCTACAGGGAGACCCTGTCTCAAAAACAAAAAACAGCCTTGGGAGGCACTGCCAGGAATCTGCTTTTGTTAACAATTCCCCACCCAACAGGTGATGAGCCAGACTCAGCTGATAGGGTAGGACCCAAAGAACCCCAAAACTTTAGCCTCCTCACCTTGCTCCTGAAGATAGAGTAGCCGGTCCAGCAGAATGAGTGTCTCCACCAATGGGGCTAGCAGGAGGGCCAGACTAAAAAAGGCCACCACACGGTTCTCTTGGGCCTGCTGGGCCCGGAGGGCAGCTAGATTCAGCGGCAGCTGGGGGTCTAGCCCCACTCGCTGTAACCCTTGCTGCACATATCTGTGGGATCAGCCACACAGCACAGTTTAGTTTTACGAACCTCTACCTCCCACTTAAACTTTCCTTGTTCCTAATCTGATTCCTACTTTGCTTGATTTGATACTTTCATAAGCAGTTAACGTTTTTAACAGACATGGTCTGTGCTGCCCAGGCTAGCCCTATATTTCTGAGTACAAGTGACCCTCCTGTTTCAGCTCCCCAAAGCAGACCACAGTGCATGGCTTAAGATTTTGTTTTGATTTGAATGCAGGATGCCCTCAAAATGGTAAAATTGACGCAATCCTCCTGCCTTGATGCCAGAGGAGGAGTGCAAGGGTTACAGGAATGTGCCGACAGTTTAGCATTCGATTTAAATGAGTTGTTTCCCTGGCTGTGAGCTTTTTAATAGCAATCCCAAATTTATTTTCATCCTGTACAATTATTTAGCCATATTTTTAGTTTAGAAACTGTACTGGATTGATGGCAGTGGTACAAACACTTGCTTACCACTTAGCATAAGCCCTGGATTTGGAAATCATTAATTTCCATTAAAAAGGAACTTAGGATGACCTTGAACCTTCTGCCTTCATCTCCCTGGCACCAGGGTTATAGGTGTGTGCCACCATGCTTAATTCATGCAATGTTAGGAATGAAACCTAGGCTTCATGCATGCTAGGCAAGTATTCTACCAGGTTACATCCCTAGCCCCAGGAGACCAACTTTTAGAGAAATTTGGAGAAGTTGCTCTTGTTAGAGAATTCAATGCTACTCCTCTGAGCATTTCTTTGCCTGTGCTAACAAGTGGGGATGGTGGGGCAGACCTCCCCCAACCTCACTCTTCAATCTTGAGTTCATTGACCCTGGGGATTCCTTGCACGCCAGGCCTCCGGAGCTCAGGGCAGGCATTTCTGATAACTGTCTCCAGCGCTGCACGGAAGCAGTGGGTTTGCAGACCGGGGCCTGCTTTCTGTAGCCTCTCAGCATATTCCTCTAGGGCATGGCAGGCCCCCTCCCGGAGCCTGTAAGGCAATTCATGGCTAGGCAGCCCAGCAACCCACTGACTCAGTGGGTAGCTGCCAGGGTCATTGAGTTTCATGTAGCAGCAACCCACTGAGGCCAGGGCTACCACCTCAGGACAGCAGCAGAAGTGTCGTAGCAAGGCAACACTCAGATCCCCACAAGCATGAAGGCCTGTGAGTAGCAGGCGGGTGCCACTCTGTCCTGGATCCTCCAGAGGAAGCAGAAGCTCCTCACACAGGGCCGTGGGACTGACCCACTGAACCACGTGGTGGGGAGAATGGCGAGGGCCTCTCTGGACCACCTGTGGAGAGGGAAAAGGACAAAGGCAGATGCATTCAGTTGTTATCCTCAGGCCACGGGAAACGGTCTGTCCTCTGCTACATGAGAGTAAAACTAGGCACAGGACAGACTGAACCAGGACCAGGACATAGGAAAAAGTCTCTCCCTCATTACAGACTCTAGATCTTTTAATTTCTCAGATCATTTTTCATTTTTTTTTGGTCTTTTTGAGACAGGGTCTCTCTGTAGCTCCAGCTGTCCTGGAACTCACTTATGTAGACCAGGCTGGCCTTGAACTCACAAAGATCTGCCTGCCTTTGCCTCCCAAGTGCTGGGATTAAAGGCGTGTGCCACCACACCCGGCTTATTTGTTTTTAAAAAATAATTTATTTTATGTGTATGCGTGTATTGCCTGCGTGAAGGTAATTGCACCCGTGTTGTGCAATGCCCGCGGAAAACAGAAGAGGTTGTCGGATCCCCTGGAACTGGAGTTAACAGTTGTTAGCTGCCATATGGGTGCTGGGATTCAAACCCGGGTCTTCTGTAAGAACAGTCAGTGTTCTTAACCACTGAGCCATCTCTCCAGCCCCCATTTTTCTTTTTTTATATTAAAATATCTACTTTTATGTGTCTGAGTGTTTTGCTTGCATGCATGTAAGTGTACCATGTGCATGCCGTGCCTGAGGAGGCCAGAAGATGGAGTCAGATCCCCTTGGAACTGGAGTTACCATTGATTGTTAGCCACCATGTGGGTGCTAGAAACTGAACCTGGGTCCTCTGCAAGAACAGCTAGTGCTCTTAACCAGCTAGTCATCTCTCCAGCCCCTCAGATTCTTTTTCTTTTGGGGAGAGGGTGGTGAGACAGGACAGTCCTGTCTGATGTTGAGTTCACCATGTAGACCAGGCTGGCAAATTTGTGGCTATCTTGTCTATGCCTCCCCAGGGCTGGGATTATAGGCATGCACCATCATACATGCCTAGCTGTTTTCCTTTTTCTTTTGGTGATGCTGAGGACAGAACCCAGAGCTTCAGGCATGCTATGGAAGTGCTCAGCCACTGGTGCTATATCCCAGTTCCTCCCAGTTTTCTTAGTGGTAACAAGTCTAATACCTGACTGAGGGGTAAGGATGTAGGTCAGTGGCATAGCACTTGCCTAACATGTGCAAGGCAATGGGATCCCATCCCCAGCACAGCAAATAATAACACCCATCTGGCCACATCATAGTTTACTCTGAGAACACACTGAAGTGGAAAGCACTTTGTAATTAGTGCCTTTGAAATGTGGGGTTGTAGGGCTAGGCTAGGGAGTTGGCTCAGCAGTTAACAGCAGTGGCTGTTCTTACAGAAGACCTGGGTTTGAATCCCAGCACCCACATGACAGCTAACAACTGTCCATAACTCCAGTTCCAGGGAATCCGATGCCCTCTTCTGTCTTCCACAGGCATTGCATGACATGGGTGCACTTACATGCAGGCAATACATGAATACATACAAAATTTTTAAAAAGGATATGTGGGAATGCTTTGGGGAAAGGGTCAAAAAAACAGCAGAATTAGAGACCATTTTAAGCTGAGAAACTCAAAACTGGAAGCTGAATTTCATTCTCAGTTCCAGCTGAGCAGGCCCTGTTCCAGGCAGTTTACCTTTGGGTGCCTCTTCTCCATTTTGTCCAGAGCCTGCAACAGTTCTTGGTCCAGACGCTGGGCTCTCTCTACCAGTGTCTGATCCCCTTCAAGGCTCTTCACTACCAGCCCCAGCCCCAGAGACATGAATCGGGAGAGATGGCCCTGGAGTCACGAGGGAGGACACAGCCCCGTTCAGTGCCCTATCCAATCACCCTACTAGTGATCTAGACATCTGGGTCCCAGACCCCAAATTTCTGCCCTGCCTGATCCCACTATTTCTCAGTACCTGGCTACCTGGGCCTCAGGCCTGTTAACACAACTTCCAACTATTCTTATGACTCAAAAAGACAGTATGTACATTAGGAATCCGGCTCACCTGGCCTGAGCCCACATCCACAACCTGAGTGCAGCCAGTGAGGTCACTCAGCTTCTTCACCAACTGAAAGAGAAGGGACCAAGGTCTCCTGGCATTGGCTCTTGACTCCTGGAGCAAATACCCATAAAGAGAGTAAAGGAGCCAGGTGGCAAAGGGAATTTCTAAGGCCTCTGGTTCCTGTGTGTGCAGTAAGGGTCACTCATCTTTGTAACTCACAGTCTTTAGGATTTCTGGGTTCCAGACAGAGTCTAGCTTCCAGTTGTCTCACCTCTCCCAGTCTCCGGATCTCATGCTGTTTCTTGGGTTTGACATGTTTCCGAAAAGGAGCTGTCAATCGGGAGCTCTGGCTGGGGTTCTCCAGGAACTCTGAGGGGGTCTGAAAGCCAGGTGTCCGGGTGAAGGCAAGGGCACAGGCTGTGGACTTCAGGGCCAGTAGAGTAAGTGGCCACACGGACCTGTACCTGAGATAGTCCAGCCCAGATTGCCAGTGAATAGCCCACAATCACATCCTAAATGCACCAGCTTATAACCCAAAGGCTCAGAAAGACCTTGTGAGACTGTCAAGACAAAAGCTCAATATGTAGCTGAGTGCTCTAGCCCCTTTAACCCATACCTGACTACCTCTCCTTCCTTGGGCATCCCCAACAGCAGGGTAGCCAGCTGTGGTGAGCTTAGTCCATCCAGTGCTTCTTGCCATGAGCGGGGGAGTGTGCCCCACAGGCTGTCTGTGAAAAATTCCTGTAGGAGGAGACAAGCAGTCAGCAGGACTATACTACTATCATTCTCATTCTCCCCAGCCCCATCTCAACTCTCCATCTCAACACCTACCGCTTTCCAGCACTGGTACCCCGTAAGACCACCAGTTGCCACCAGCAGGTACCTCCTGCTCATCTGTGTCAGCCCTCAAGTTCAACCCAGCCTCCCCTAGTGCCCAGGTGCTACAGACTACATTCTGGATGCACTTTTCATTTTGTGTTTTCTCCATTCAATTTCTTGCAAATAGAGACAGTGCACTTTTCACGTGTCCCTGGCACTATCACAGAAACTGGCACACAGCATTAACGCATTACTGTTTAGATACCTGCTATTTTATGTGCCAGACAGTTGTGTATTTTTACTCATTCATTTGTTCATCTTAAAATTCTGGGGCTTCATTTTGGTCATACACCAAGCTGTATTCTAAATCGGGGATTACAACAGTGAAACAGTTAGAAACAACAGAAATCGAGATGGGGGGTTGCTTAGTGGTTAGGAGCACTGGCTGCTCTTGCAATGGACAAGGGTTCATTTCCCAGCACCCACATAGCACCTAATGACCCTCTGTAACTCCAGTTCTGGGGACCCAATGTTGTATTCTGGCCTCCACAGGCACTGCACAACATGGGTGCACTTACATACATGCAGGTAAAAGACTCATAAAATCAATGGGCAATTATTTTAAATAAGATGATGGGGGAAAATCGTGTGAGGAGTTGACACTTCAAGCTGAGACTTGAATAATGAGTGGGAACCAGTCACATAAAGAAAATACAAGCAAGAGCAAATACTCAAATATTTCCTTCAGGGAGGGAGAGAAAGAGGGAACAACCCAATTTGGCTGGTCAGAGAAGCACTGGTTGGGGAGGGGCCAAAGTATATACAAATAAAGCCTCTGGATAAAGATAAATGGATGAATTTGGGATGTATTCTGAAGGCAGAGTCAAGAGTTCTCATTGAAGGATTGGACTGTGGATCAATGAAAGAGCTCAATCAAGGCTGGCTTCTGGGTTTGAGGCCTGACCAGTTCAACAGATAGTGGTGTCACTGACACATTATCTCATTTTTTCTCATTAATAATCCGCCAGGCTTTATACGGGTCCATTTTATAGTTTAAAAAGGTATAAGAAGCCGGGCGTGGTGGCGCACGCCTTTAATCCCAGGGAGGCAGAGGCAGGCGGATCTCTGAGTTTGAGGCCAGCCTGGTCTACATAGTGAGTTCCAGGACAGCTGGGACTACAGGGAGACCCCGTCTCAAAAAGAGTAGAAGCAAGACTCTAGTTCAGAGGCTGGAGATATGGCTTCAGCAGTTAAAAGTACTGACTGCTCTTGCAGAGCAGTGCCGGGTTGGATTCCCAGCACCCACAAGGCAGCTAACAACCGTCCTTAACTCCAGTTCCAGGGGATTTGATGCCTTCTTCTGACCTCCAGGGGCACTTGTACACATGCAGGCACCTATACTCATACACATAAAATTTATATATATATTATATATATATTTCCTCCCCCCCTTTGGTCTTTTTTGAGACAGGGTCTCCCCTGTAGCCCCAGCTGTCCTGGAACTCACAGAGATCCGCCTGCCTCTGCCTCCCGACTGCTGGGACAAAAGGCGTGCGCCACCACGCCCGACCCCAATAAATATATTTTTAAAAGATTCTAGTTCAATTCGGTCTGCTTCCAAAGCTGAATGGCTCACTGTAACACAAAACCAGAAATTTCCTCAAAACCTGAACATGTATGCTCCAGAACACCTCGTATGTTCCTAGGAAAGTCCAAAGGAAATTACAGAATGGTCAAAATGTCCCTACACTTTCTTACGCTGGTTTTAAAGGAAGTTAGAAAATAATTTAGATATTGAGAGAAGTGGGGGGAAGAGGGAATCCCCCCAGTCTTAAGCTTTGTACAGACTGAAACTCAAGCTGTCTCCAGATTTTCCCCGTGGTCCTAGCCAACCCACATGACCAGAAGCACCCCGCCCACAATCCTGTGGCCTCACGATGATGTAGGCATCTAGGATGGAGCGGTAGCGCTCCAGGACGCGGATGAGGTTCACAGCCAGCTGCTTCCTCTCCTCGATAGAGAGGCCACGGGCGGAGACGCCCGGCATCCTGAGCGCCCGGCTGGAGAGGCTGGGAGCGAGAAGCGGCGAAACCCTGGATGGGTACCACGAGGGCGTGACCAAGCCGTGCTCAGCTCTGAAGGCCCTATGTGAAGCAAGACTTCCGACACCGATCTCCATGGAATCTTCACCGGAAGCCGTGTTCAAGGTGAAATCATGAGACGGACCCGCCACACGTCACACGCCAGGAAGTCCCATAGAGAGCCAAGGCCTACGCGAGGCAGACGTGTGTGGCAAGGCTGTGACGTCACAAAGGCGCGCCCCGCACAGGCTCAGTCTAGCGCGGTCAACTACAGGTCCCGCCCTCCGTTACGGAAGTAGGGCCGCGGTTCCGCTTTCCGGGACCTACCATCTTCGAGTTGTGCCTCCAGGGGCTCTGCCCCTGCCCCCGGTGCTGCCGCTGCACACGCACTCTGAATCGCTGGCCTCGCCGCCCGAAGCCGGCGCGCTGAGGGCGCGTGCGCGCCGGCCGCCTGCTCGTTCCAATACGCAGTCCTCCCGGCCTCTGGCCGATCGTACCGGTTTCCTCATCCGGTTCCGGACGCTTGAGATCCTAGGGCGCTAGGACTAGGAGGTAGGTGTGTGGGTGTGCAGGAACGGCACGTGGACCGGTAGAGTGCTGGCCCAGGAGACCCACCTGGATTCTCGAGCCCCCGTCCCCCTGCCCCCACATTCATCTCCTGGTGTGTCAAGTTATTGCTTGAGGGGATGGGTAAGATTGGTGTGGAGATTGCCCCCACGTGGAGCCGAGGGAGACGGGTGCCAGGATTTGCATTCCATCTTCGTTCCAGGGATCAGGCTACGGATGCCTGAGTAATCCAGGGAACATCTGTTCCGTACCCCCTCACAGCTATCGAACGCACTATGCTCTATGTTTTATGCTGATTGCAGAGGTCACCTGTTTGAGCTTCGTAGACCCGGCTGAGTTCGAATTCGGTGGGTCCTCCAGCCCCTTCTTTTAACTTCACCACTGAGCTACATCCCCCAGCCTTAGCACCTTTATTTTATAAATGACACAGACCTGGAGAGGGGAAGGATCCTCCTAACGCCATCCAGTGGGTGAATTGTGGGGCTTTAGGCTTGCACCAGAATTACTTTACCATACAGTTCCATTCCTCCTGTATCTGGGGGTTTGTTCTGGTGTCTTTCATCTTAAGTCTTACAGAAGTTAGCCTTATCCCCACCTCCCAGGCCTATGGGTGCAGGTACCAGGATCACTTTTGTCCCCAGGGCTAATTGCAGACCTCCACATATTGGACCGTGGGATTTTGCAGAGAATAAATTGTTTGTCATCCTTCCATCTGTAAGCCACTCTTCCCAGCTGCTCTCCACCATCCACTGCCCTCATGTCTACCATACTCCTGAATTTGGATTTTGGGGAACCTCCAAAAAAGACATTTGAAGGAAATGCCAAACATCAAAGTTTTGTCAAGAAGCGGCGCCTCTTGGAAAAGAAAGGGTTTCTGAAAAAAAAGAATCAACCCCCTGCCAAAGTGTCTAAGTTGCACTCAGAACCTCTAAAGAAAGGGGAAACTCCCAGAGTGGATGGAGCTCGGAAGAATCTTCCATGCCCAAAGAAGAAGGTGGCTGCCTCCAGTAGAGGGTCAGAGCAGTCCCCAGACAAGAGAACAACAGTGTCTTGGCTGACTCCTGCCCCTTCAAAGAAGACTGATTCTGTTGTGGCTAAAATTGATTTGCTAGGAGAGTTTCAGAGTGCCCTCCCAAAGATTAAAAGCCACAAGAAGAAGGGCCCTAAGAAGAAACGCTCTCAGAAGAATGCTACACAGACTTCCATGCAAGCTCAGGCAGAGAATAAGTGCCCTAGAGCATCCCATACATTGCCAGGGAAGATGGTGGCAATTGATTGTGAGATGGTGGGCACAGGACCCAAGGGGCGTGTTAGTTCTTTGGCTCGATGCAGTGTTGTCAACTACAATGGTGATGTGCTTTATGATGAGTACATCCTTCCCCCCTGCTATATCGTGGACTATAGGACCAGATGGAGTGGCATCCGCAAGAGCCACATGGTGAATGCTACACCCTTTAAGATTGCTCGTGGTCAGGTAAGGAACATGGGACAAGATAATGGCAGGGAGGTAGGTAAGGAGGCTTCCTGAATCACTAACTTTCTTGTTATGACAAAATACCTGACAAAAGGAACTTAAGGATTTATGATTAATTTGGTTCAGTTTAAGGATGCATTTCATCATGGTACAGAAATCATGACAGCAAGAGTGTGAAGCATCTAGTCAGCCGTCAGGAAGCGGAGAGATGAAAGCTGGTGCTCTGCTAGCTGCATTTTATTCAGTCTAGAACGCCAACCAGTGGAATGGTGTCACTCACATTTAAGGTGGATGCCACCACTCCCCTAGTTAATCTAGTAACACTCTCACATACACAGAGATTTGTCTTCTAGGTAATGGTACATCCATCTTGACAAGTTGATGATATTAACCATCAACTTGACACCCAAACATAGCACTTTTAAGTCCTAACCTTCCATCCTTGGTCACCATAGACTCATGGCCATCTCATAATGCCAAATGCATTCATGCATTTGGACCAACTTCAAAAGTCTCCATAGTCTTTACTTTTTTGCAGGCGGTGGGGGGGGGGTTTGAGACAGGATCTCCCTGTAGCCCCCAGCTGGCCTGGAATTTACTCTTTAGACCAGATGATCTTGAACTCAGAGAGATCCAGAGGCCTGCCTCTGCCTTCAGAGTGCGGGACTAAAGGTGTGTGCCACCACGCCAGGCAAAAGTCTCCATAGTTTTTTAGTTCTAACACTGTTCAAAATTTTAACAGAGCCTCCTCTGACACTTAGGCAATCTCTTCACTGTGAACTTCCATAACATCAAAAATCAAGTTTAGAACTATGTAGCTCAATGTATGAAGTACTTGCTGCCACAGAACCCACATAAAAACTGGACATGTTGGTACACATTTATAACCTCAGTACTGTTAACCATCAACTTGACACCCAAACATAGCACTTTTAAGTCCTAACCTTCCATCCTTGGTCACCATAGACTCATGGCCATCTCATAATGCCAAATGCATTCATGCATTTGGACCAACTTCAAAAGTCTCCATAGTCTTTACTTTTTTGCAGGCGGTGGGGGGGGGGTTTGAGACAGGATCTCCCTGTAGCCCCCAGCTGGCCTGGAATTTACTCTTTAGACCAGATGATCTTGAACTCAGAGAGATCCAGAGGCCTGCCTCTGCCTTCAGAGTGCGGGACTAAAGGTGTGTGCCACCACGCCAGGCAAAAGTCTCCATAGTTTTTTAGTTCTAACACTGTTCAAAATTTTAACAGAGCCTCCTCTGACACTTAGGCAATCTCTTCACTGTGAACTTCCATAACATCAAAAATCAAGTTTAGAACTATGTAGCTCAATGTATGAAGTACTTGCTGCCACAGAACCCACATAAAAACTGGACATGTTGGTACACATTTATAACCTCAGTACTGAAGGGTGGAAACAGGCAAATCCTGGGGGCTTGCTAGCCAGCCAGCCTGCCTAGCCAAAATGGCAAGCTCTAGGTTCAATGAAAAACCCTATCTCAAAAAATAAGATGGTGAGCAATAGAGGAAGACACTCAGCATCAGCCCCGTTCTTCCTTATATGTAAACACACATAGGCACACTCTTGTGCTTGCACACAAAGTTACATTCTTCCAATATACAATGGCAGAGTATGTATTCCCATTCTAAAAGGGACACATGGAGACATAGCAAGGAAAGACTGGACCAAAGCAAGACTGAAACCCAGCAGGGCAAACACCAGACCTCCAAGTTGCATGTCCAGGATCTGGTACTTGGGATGAAATCATCTGAACTGCAGGACCTTAGGTAGCTCTCTGCCCTTGCAGAGATCTACCTGCCTCCGCCTCCCAAGTACTGGGATTACAGATGTGTGCCACCACTCCCAGCAACCCCTTACTCTTGCATTTTTCTTCTTTTTTTGGTGTGTTTTTTTTTTTTTTTTTTCGAAGACAGGGTCTCCTGTAGCCCCAGCTGGCCTGGAACTTGCCTATGTAGACCAGGCTGGCCTCAAATTTGTAGAGATCTGCCTGCCTCTGCCTCCCAAATCCTGGGATTAAAGGTGTGCCCAGCTGAGGCTAATCTTTAATGGGACTAATCTTTCATACCCACCTAGCTTGCACCTTTGAACTTTTGTTCCTTTCCCTACAAACTACATTTTTATATCTTTATGTTCCACTTCATGCCCAGTGTAGACCTAGATACGAATAGTGAGCAGTAGCCTTGACATAGACTGAATATTACCTTGTCTTAAATATTGTCTGCCAAACATACTGGTTTATTACTTTTTAATTCATTTTCAAGGTCTCAGGCAGAATACAGTGAGATTCTTTGCCAGTGTGTAACACAAAATGGCCTGTAACCTGGCTCTCTGTAGCGTTCCATCTGAAACTTGAGCCAAACTTGTTGGCATTTCTCTCTGTGTTCTGATCTTCCAAGATATCAGACAGCTCATTGAGCTCTGTGTACAGTATTCTAGGGCTTCTCTAGCCCCAAGCTATAGACTCCTATATTCCTCCCCAAAGCCAGTGCCAAAGGCCTAAGAACCACAGCATCACCACTCATTACCAGTCTTCTGTATTACTTATTCCTGTCACAAAATACCTGGCAAAAGTAGCTTAAGGAAGGAAGGGTTTATTCTGGCTCACAGTTTGAGAGTCCATGGCAAGGAAGGCATGGCATGGAGGCTGGAGAAAGGTAGCTGGTCATAGTGCACCCATAGTGCAGAAACGGGAATAGTGCTGCTCCTTTCTCTTTTTTCTTTTTCTCCCAGCCCAGGAATGGTGCCACCTAGATTTAGAGTGGGTCTTCTGCCTTAATTAACCCAATCTAGAAACTCCCTCACAGACCTGCCCAGAGATTGACAAGATTAACCATCTACAGGAGTAGTGAAAATCAGGAAAGTACAAGAGATGAAACCATTTTAGGTCTCTAGTGGAGTTGATCTGAGAACTGGGAAGATACCTGGAGAACAGCCAGCTGGTGATAGGAGTGGGCTGAGCGGCAAGTGTGAAAGTAGCTTGGGGCAGAGGTCAGTTGTATTGGGAGGGGCGTCCACATGGCCTGTAGTAGGACATGGGGCTCATAAGGAGGTTCTCTTCACTCACTGAACAAACCTACTTATTCTAGCCCTGTGCTAGAGCACAGTAAAGAAGAACAGAGGGGCAAAGTGAGAGAAGTGAAGGAAGAATGAGAGGAGCCAAGCTGGTCTTGGGAGGCCACCAGAGGGCACCCTTGGCTTACTTTGCCATTTGAGATTCACATTCTTTGCTTTCTCTATATACAGAATTTTCTTTTGCAGAGGGTCTTTTTTGGATATGTATCCCAGGCTGACCTCAGACTCACTTTATAGCCAACGATGACCTTGAGCTTTTGATCCTTCTGCCTCTACTTTCTGCATGCTGTGATTATAGGCACACCTGATTTACACAGTGCTGGGGGGTGGAACCTAAAGCTCATTCATAACTAGGCAAGCACTCTACCAATTGAGCCAGATCCCCAGACTCTCCCAAGATTCTTTATAATGCCAGAATGCTTTAATTCTTTATAATGCTGTTGGAGGAGATAAAGTGGCTAGACATTAAGGAGACTTGGCAGGAAGTTGTGAAGGATAGTATGTGCATAGGGGCACAATTGAGCAAAGGCTTGGAAGAGGCAGAAGCTGGGATGGGTCTGACTGCAAATGGTCCCAACTTCAATGAGGGCTGTGTTTTGGGGCATTCGGGATGAAGGTGAAGCAGGCTGTGGTGGTGCATGCCTTTAATCCCTGCACTCAGGAGGCAGAGGCAGGCAGGTCTCTGAGTTCAAAGCCAGCCTGGTCTACAGAGTGAGTTCCAGACCAGCTGGCGCTACTGGGAGGAAAAAAAAAGAGGATGAAGGTGAAGTTGGGTAGAAGACTACAGGTGTAGCCAGGAACAACTGAATACTTTGTTGAGTGGACTTTAAAACCATTGGGGGAGGGGCGGCTGGAGAGATGGCTCAGTGGTTAAGAGCACTGACTGCTCTTGCAGAGAACCCGGGTTCGATTCCCAGCACCCACATGGCAGCTACAAACCATCCTTAACTCCAGTCCCAGGGGAATCTGAAGCCCTCTTCTGACCTCCAAGGCATTGCACGACACTGGTGCACTCACATACATGCAGGCAACACACTCATACACATAAAATAAAAATAATTAAGGAGGCCCTGCTCTCTGCCACTGCCCTTGGATGCGGGTCAGCCCGGGCCACAGTCATGACAGAATTGCTTCAGCTTGTGCTTGACTACTGGGTTCATATACTTGTCCCTATGGGATTTGTCATTGGCTGTTATCTAGACAAAAGGAATAATAAAAAACTAACTGCCTTCTGGAATAAGAACATGCTGTTTAAATGGGAACTAAGGCCCGATGAAGAAGTTACTTGGAAGACCCTCACTAAATCACAGGATGTTCACCTTTTAAAAGTTATGGGAGAGCCGGGCGTGGTGGCACATGCCTTTAATCCCAGTACTAGGGAGGCAGAGGCAGGTGGATCTCTGTGAGTTCAAGGCCAGCCTGGTCTACATAGTGAGTTCCAGGACAGCTGGGGCTACAGAGAGACCTTGTCTCAAAAAAGACCAAAAAAAAAAAAAGTTACGGGAGAAATAAAAACATGCTTATTATTTTAAAAAAATAGTAATTTTTAAAAAATTTTTAAAAAACAAACATTCAAGGGTTTTAAAGCATGAGTCCGTTACTTTTCTGGTTATGACAAAATATCTGACAAAAGGAACTTAAAAGATTTATGATTTATTTTGACTTCTATCTGGTTTTCATCGTAAAGCCTTTCTACCTTGCTTAGGGTAGGGTTCTGAAATTAAGATGAGTCCATATGAGTCACTGAGTAGGTCCCCTTGGGAAGCAATGCAGGACTTTTGCTGTTCACATTCCCATTTTGGGTATGGCCTTTAGAACCTATGTCCCCAAACTTCCAAGATCATAAAATGGTAAAGTTACTTGGTTTTGAGTCTAGTGAGCAGAACTGCCACAGCCCCTCCTGAAGCTTTAGACTATACATGATTCTCAGTTTACTTTATCATTTCTTAATATTTTTTGCATTTGTTTATTTTTGGGGGGTAGAGAGAGGTGCATGATGACATGCACGTGGAGGTCAGAGAATAACTTGTTGAAGTCGATTCTCATAGGTGGTTGTGAGCCACCCTATGTGGATACTGAGAGTGAACTCAGATCCTTTGCAAGAGCAATTGCTCTTATGCTGAGCCATCTCTCTAGCCCCATGACTAGCATTTTTAATGCATGTTACATTGAAGACTGAAGGAAGAGACTGGGATACAGCTCAGTGGTAGACCGTTTGCTTGGCATGCACATTGCCCTGAGTTCTGTTTTCAGAACTGGGGAAAGAAAAATAAAAAGACTGAAGACAGTTGTTGGGAGGGAAGTTCATAAGAGTGAAAGGGGCCTTTGGTGCCATAGCTCTAAGCGGGATTGCACATGAAAGTTACTTTTGTGGAGAAGAGGTGGATTTCAAGGAAGAAGAACACTTGTGGAAGGTGGCATTTCAAGGATGGGACAAGTGGGGGCTGGAGAGATGGCTCAGTGATTAAGAGCACTGGCTGCTCTTGCAGAGGACCCAGGTTTGGTTCCCAGCACCCACGTGACAACTAATACCTGTCCTTAAATATAATTTTTTTTTTTTTTTTAATCTTTTTGAGAGAGTCTCCCTGTAGCCCCAGTTGATTTGGAACTCACTACTTAGAGCAGGCTGGCCTCAAACTCAGAGAGATCCGCCTGCCTCTGCCTCCCAAATGCTGGGATTAAAGGCGTGCGCCACCATACCCTGCAAATACAATATTTTTAGCAATTTTTTTAAAAGGATGGGACACATGGGCAGTTGGTGAAAACCAGCTGAGGCTCCGATGGCCATGATGAATCTTAAGGATAGAAGAGCTCCACCTTCAAGTGTCCCTTCTCACTACCTCCTTCCACTCCCATTCCAGATCTTGAGGATCCTCTCAGGGAAGATAGTGGTGGGGCATGCCATCCACAATGACTTCAAAGCCCTACAGTACTTTCACCCCAAGTCCCTCACTCGGGATACCTCCCAAATACCACTCCTCAACCGGAAGGCCAGCTGCCCAGAGAATGTCACAATGTCACTGAAGCATCTCACCAAGAAGCTGCTGGACCGGGACATCCAGGTAATGTCTCTCCAAGTGCCTCCAACACACACACAGCTTGGGTTGGTAGAGGCTCTTATTACTGCATCTCTAGGACCTGACCCAAAAGGCCTTTGGTTGCAGAACTCCAAGCTTGGGCCCAGTAGTCTCATGAGCTGTCCCAAATGGTACCATAGGAGAGGAAGAGAACAGGCAATAGTTACGGTCTAAAAGAGCAGAGATGCAAGGACCACTGAATAGGAAGCTATGGGCACTTCATAGGGAGAGCAGTTAAGGAAGGTAGATTCAGAAGGCCTGTCTTTAATCTGAAATGTCCTGTTTCTGCAGAATCTGAATAATTAGACATACACCCTGCCTCAGAAAGGATTGAGCAGGTTTCCTGGGAGTCAAACCTCTGACATGCTGAGTCTTAGGGCCTCGGCAGAATTCTTACTGCAGCTCACAAACTGCAGAAGAAATAAGGGGGCAGGGTGGAAGGGTGGTCTAGAGTTGGCTCAGAAGAGAAGAAATAGTTCTTGTGGCTTCATACTTTTCTCCTCTTTAGGCTGGAAAAAGTGGACATTCCTCTGTGGAAGATGCCCAAGCTACCATGGAGCTGTACAAGTTGGTTGAAGTTGAATGGGAACAGCAGCTGGCCCAGAATCCTCCAAAAAATTAGCCCCCCTGGGGAGACATATGCAATAGATCAACACACAGTTCTTGGAGCTTCATGCCTGTACAACCTAGAATTGTTAGGAAGAGAGGCTCAACCAGAGACTTAATACCCATTGAAATTTCATCTCAGCTATTGTGTTTGCTGTGTGGTTAAAGTGTCCCATGAAAGGAGAAAGCCTAGGAAGCCCAGCTCTAGGCCAGCCTGGTGGCCCAGGCCTATGATCCCAGAAACTTGGTAGGCTGACTCAGGTCACAAGTTCAAGGCCTGCATAGGCTACACAGTCAATTTAAGGCCAGTAAGAAAGATCCTGTCCCAAAAAGTGAAAGAAGGCCAGGGATAGAGCTCAATGCTAAAGCACTTGCTAGCATGCATGAGCCCCTAGTGATTGGGGGATAGAACATGACAACATAACCAGCTCTAGACTTCACTTCTCAATGGTGCTAACCAATAGATCCCAGGGTGCTTGTGCCAGTCAACTTTCCTGACATCAAGGGGGCAGGGCACACCAGACAATATAGCTTCCCATACTGCCTTTTCACTGGGACATGTGTCATAGAGCAATTATGGGAGGGTAAAGGGACCGTGTGTTGCCAAGGCTGGCCTCAAACTCTTGAGCTCAAATGATTCTCCTTTCTGAGCCTCCTGAGTAGCTGGGACTACAGCTGTACCACTATGCTTGGCTTTTCAGATTTTACTGTTTTATTCTCAAGTAATTAATAGTGTTCTTCCACCTTTATACAAGTGTCTTGGTTAAAACCATAGTGGATCAGCTCTGTAATCCTAGGAACTCAGAAGGTTGTGGCAGGAAGATCAAAAGTTCAAGGCCGTCCAGAGCTACATAGAGAAACTTATCTTCAAAAACACAGAAAGAAGGCTGGTATTGTGCACAGGTCTTTAGTCCCAGCATTCCAGCATTTGGGAGGCTGAGGCAGGCAGATCTCTACGAGTTAGAGGCCAGCCAAGGGCTATACAGTGAAGCCTCTCAAAAATAAGAAAAGAAAAGGTTGTGTGGTTGGTTACTGAATTGTGTGGTCACACCACAAAGACTGCTTTTAGGTCAGAGCCTGCCTGTTGGTATTTACCAACTACTGACTTCCAGAGGTGAGGTTTACTTCTCTTGGGGGACTTACAGGGCAGGTAAGGATATGGCCTAAAATCAGCTTAACCTAGAGTAACAAAGAGTTTATGTAATTTAGGTTCTGCTTGCTTGGTTTAAAAAGAATACATTGTTTTAATAGTCTTTCAGTCTTTTACTTGCTAAACCAAGCCCCTTAAAAACACAAGTGAGCCAGGTGTGATGATGCATATCTTTAATAACAGCACTTGGGAGGCAGAGGCAGGTGGATCAAGGCCAACCTGGTCTACATAGTGAGTTCCAGGCCAGCTGGGGCTACAAGGAGACCCTGTCACAAAAAAAGCAAACCTCAAAGGATTCTTTTGATAAATTTTTATAAAAGAAAACTGTGTGGTGGCTTCTTTCTGGCTTCACATTAAATAGTATCTCAAGGTGGGGGGCTGTGTAATCCTGGAGTAGGATTTCCAGGGTCTCAGGGCTCCCACTTGGGCCCTTGTTTGCTGTATGTTCTCAAGAAGCTCTGTCAAACCCTTAAGAAACAGTGCCTCATCCTTCTATCACAGACTAGAAACACACCCAAAGTGACACCCCAGGCCATGCAGAGGGTGTGTGACCAGGGGAATGGGAATGGATCAGTGGGCATAAGGGAGGGACAGAGTCGGGGAGGAAGGGTGCTTGCTTGGTGACGCCAGCCTGGTCACTGCTGCCAGCTCTTCCTCAGTACACACCCTCATCCAGAAGGTGAGTCATGGGTTGTCCAGAATTACTCTCCATACACAGCCATCTCCAGACCCTCGAAGTTTCATTATGCCACTTAGGACAATGAATCTCTTTGCTTCTTGGAGTTCCTTCTATTCTAGTTCGCAAATCCTGCAGTCCTTTTCTAACCATGGCCTTTAAGGACTGGGTATAAGAAGGTGAAAGCTCTTAAGAATGCTTCACTGTGCCAGGCACCACATTGAGCCCCTGAGGTGCACTTTGTCACCCTGTAACCTAGGGGGTATTGTAATTTAATAGGTCGACCAACAGGTAAAATCTTTCCTCTGGAAAGATTGGCAGCACTGGCACTATGAGTTGTTGAATAGACCTGAAATTTGCCTTGCTGTCTGAGTGGTATCTGGTGGGATGTGGAGTTTACTCACATACTTACCAGGGTCCCTTCTGTACCAGGTAGTGTGCCAGGCACTGGGGAAATAGTATTGTTTTTGGCCCTGAAGAAGAAAAGCCAGGTAACCTAAGTGCATCATGTAAATGCCATCTAGAGCTGCTGTAGGATTTGAAGCAGGTTAGTAATGGGAGCAGGTCTGTAATGCTGGCAGCCATATGGAAGCTGGATTGGAGAATGGCCAGGAGATGAGTAGTTGGGATATGAATCAGTGAAGTAGGAGGAGCATGTGAGAATCATAGGTGATGTCAGTGTGACTTGGCAATACGGCAGGAGAGTGACAGGTGTGCTGGATACTTGTGAACAAAGGGTAAAGATAAGTGGAGGATTCACCAAAGGAAAGGATGTGAAGAAAGAGTGGGCTTGAGGGTGAGGTGGTTGTTTCCTGACTGCCTGAAGATACCCCACCTGGGTAGACAGGACTGAGGCTTAGTGCAGAGACCTGAGGCAAGAAACTAAGTTCAAGGCTGGATGTTGATGGCACCCAGAAGGCAGAGGCAGGAGAATCACAAGCTTTGTTTTTCAAAGATTTATTTGGGGCAGGGGTGACTATAGAGACGGCTCAAGTTTAAGAGCACTTGTTGCTGAGGACTGGTATTCAAACTGGGAAGGTGCAGAGACTGAACTGCATTGTGTTGGAGAGTAAACGAGGTGCTGTGTCTATTGGCATAGGCCTGTAATCCGGCCATTCTGGAGTTGGAAGCAGAATAGCAAGTTCAAGGGCTGCCTGGGCTACAGAGAATAAATTACAGAGGGGAAGAAAGAAAAGGGGATGTTCAAGATTTTGTTTTGGCTTTGAGGGGAGAGTCCCACTGTTGTGGGAGACCTGAAGAGCTGAGGTGGGAGTGATAAATGACACAGTGAAAGGGTTATGAGAGAGAGTGCACATGTACTCATCTAGGGAAAACCTGAGGCGGCATTTGGGTAGAGATGTGAAAAAAGTGAGGAAACATCATGTAAGCATTCACAGGAAGACTGCCAGACAAGTGATAGTTGTAAAGACCCTGGGGCAGGTGTGTGCTTGTATACTCAGGGCCTACATGGCTGGAGCAGAGTAAACCAGGAAGAAAATAGTGAGCGATGAGGTCGGAAAAGAGGGAGAGATGGCTAAAGTAGAGTCTTGCTGTATAGTATAAGAAGTTGGGATTTAACAGCCGGATCTTGAGCAGAGGAATGATGTGAACTGATGTAGGATTCTGCTATGAGGGAGAGAAAGAGAACAGAATCAGTGTAGAGGCTCTTGCTGTGACCTAGGAGAGACAGGGCCCTGTGGCAGTGGAGATAGTGATAGGTGGCATTTTTTAAAACAACTTTAACTTTAGACAGGGTGAACACTTTAGTGTACTTGATGGTGAGCTGTTTAATCCAAGGCTGATAATTCTGGCCTTTCAATCCTCAACCCTGTTCCTGGCTGATTTAGTTAGCTTCTCTGTTGCTGTGACAGATAAAGTACTGATCAAAAGCTACCTGGGGAGGAAAGGGGTTTATTTGACTTACAGTTCACAGTTCATCATCAAGGGAAGCCAAGGCCGGAGCCCAGCAGGAAACCAGAGGCAGGAACTGAAGCACAGACCACAGAACTTTTTAACTTAGGATCACCTGCCCAGGGGTGGCACTGCCCACAATGGACTAGGCCCTCCCACATCAACCAGCAGCAATGAAAATGCTACAGACCAATGCAATGGAGGTAATACCTCAATTGGGATTCCTCTTCCAAGGTGTGTCAAGTTGACAACAGGCTATCTAGTACACTGGCCCACTAAAGAGCACTCAGGGAGTGTCTGTACCCAGAAAGGGATTGACCTGGGTATGGTCTAGAGTGGAGGCTGGCTGTAGATACACTGGGCAGTCATCAGGACAGAGAATAGACATGGGACAGTTAGTAGCACTGCCAGGGAGTGTGTCATGGTGAGCCAGGCCTGCGGAACTGCTATCCTGATTTTTTTTAGCAACGCCCCCTCTGCCTGAGTCTCCCATCACTTAGCCATACTGGGGATGCCCCAGTTTCTTATGTATGACTTATAGGCTTACTAGGGATACCCTATGCACAGAATGTCTAGGGCTTCCAGGAAGGTGGGGAGGGCCTGTGAACACATACTGTGAAATCTGGGGCCGGGGAGATGGTCCACTTGGTAAAGTGCCTCTACATAAGCATAAGGACCAGAGTTTGGGTCTTCAGCACCCATGTAAAAGCTGGATGTGGCAGCACATGCCTGTAATAATTAGTCCTGGGGAGGCAAAGACAGGAGGATACTTGGGGCTCACTGGCTGGCCAGCCTAGCTGAATTGGTGAGCTCCAAACTTAATGAAGGATCCTGTCTGAAAAAGATAGTGACTGATGAAAACACCCAGTGTCAACCTCTGGCCTCTATACACATGCACACACCAACACACACACACACACGGATTCTGCATGGAAGCATAGGGCACTTTAATCCTCCCCTAGGCCCCACTGAACCTTTTTTCCAGCATTCCAGAGTGAGGCTCTGGGGGTAGATAGACTGATGACATTCAAAAAGTTTATGCCCAATGCTGGCCTAGGGCAAGTGATTCCCAGGACCCTGGCCCAGCCTTTCAGAGCACCAAGCAGCAGAGCACCCCTAGGCCAGAGCAACTCCCCAAAGGCCAAGCCCTTCACTCCCTTGCACCCTGTGGATCCTGCTTGGTTACTTCTTTGGAAAGAGTCCGTGAGAGGTCCCAGCTCATAGCCAAAGGAGGAAGAAGGCAAGACTGCCATGCCCTGGGAGCTAGGGAGGAGCTAGAGCCCACACCCAGAGAATCCTGCCTGGCTGCCCCAGAGTGGACTGGCTGGCAGAGTGGGTAGCTCTTGAGAAGGCCCTCAAAAGGGTAGAAGGTGAGGTGGAGATGGGAGAGAAAATTCGTGAGGGCCTAGGAAAGACTTGCTGTTGGCCCTGTGTATACACACTTTGCACTCTATATCTGGAGCTGCCTCCTAATTTGAACTAATTCCCTAGGGATACTGGGGGCTAGGAAGTTCATGAGGAGTTGTGCCATTCCCCACGGGTAGTTGGCAAGGTGTCCTGATGAGTCCTGGCCCCAGGACAGCTGACTTTGGCTTCTGGTACAGAGG